TTCATACTGAGGCCCAGTGAGAGATGCTAGGGATGCTAGTATGCCTCTACCGTGTAGTCGCCGACGCTTGCCCTTGCCTTTACTTCGACCCCTGCCTTTTCCTTTGAGCGTCCGCCGTACCATACGTCTTACTTTTCTGATTGGTTTCTTCATGAATCTCCGCCAACGACGCCTGTGTTTTTTGATGGCCCAAAAATAACCACTGAGCTTGCTGCTCTTCAGTAAGGTATGTAGGCATATCAGAGTAGTCCAGCGTGGCAGTTACATCATCAGAAGACGCATCGGTATCGGTACCGGAGTCGAAGTCGGACTCGGCGGGTTGCCCCGCAGAGCCCATTATTGTCATAGCTTGTACAAGGGAGACCACATCGGGGGGCCCCCTAGGTCTGGCCCAGGGGTCGTGTGACCCCCAAGGCCGTACCGCCATTCTGGGCCAACAATGTGGTGGTCTCAGATGACGGCATATCATCGTTTCAGATGTTGTTAGCAAGTTGCCCTGCATTTGCCTCTGTATGGAAGGTCTCGGTTCGGTGACCGTGACTGAAAATACCACCGATATTGCCAAGGGTTCTCTCAGCTATGTGAGCATATGACCTCATACGTTCGAGGAGAGCGTTAAATTGTGCTTGGTCCCTCGGCATATGGCGGTTCAGATGCTGCAGGAGCTGCTGCGCCCGCGACGCCCCCACTCCCAGAGCTCTGAATCATTTTACTGTTAACATCTGGAAGTTGGGGATGTTGAAGCCTGCTGCTTCTTCTTCGTAACGGGCTATCTCGAACCGCGCTAACGACTGGTCGATTCGTTCTCCCGCATGGACACGAAAGTCAACGAGAGCCGTACCAGAGTTGAGTTGGTGTTCCTCTTCTAGGTTCTCGAACTTCGTACTTAAGAGAAACATAATGTAGGTGACGCCGTCGGTGTGGCGGCCGCCGATATTGAGACCAACATTGGTGACTGCTGGGGGAACTCTCATGGCTGTAGTCCGTGCGAGCCCTCCGAGACCGCGCTGGAGTGCAGCGGCCTGTTGGGAGGGAGTCACGTTGCCTGTGGTCACGTTGATCCAGGCGTGTACTTCACGGACAAACTCGCGAAATGGTACTTGACCGGCAGGGTCCCAATGAGGGCCAGTCGTCCTAGCGTCGTCTCCGCCCCGCATATGTCCCACCGCACATCCAAGAGCAACGCGTATGAACCCAAATGTAAGAATCCCAATCCAATGGCCTCGTAGGTCGTAGTCGGGTGTAGTCGGTGGAGACTCGTATTTTGTCGTCGTAAGTCTGCGAGGGGTCGGAGGCGGCAGTATATCGCATCGCATGTTTCCACGCATTACATATTTGAAGACATTTCAAATTGGAGTAGGCGGTTGGACTTCAGGAGCGTAATGGCGCAGGGATGTAGGATAGGATTTTTTGTGGGCAATAGCTGTGCAACGGCACAATGAAACTGTCACGGAATACCTCTTGGAGGTGGTGACCATGTCGAAAAGTCAGAAGAACAGTTAAGTGCCTGAAATGGTCCAGACAGTGCTCGTGTCTCCAGACGAGAAGGAGGACGGAGGGACTACTATAATGATAATGATAATGAGGTAAAGAAGATGGCACAGGAAGGCGAATACTGGTGTGTGCTCAGGGATGTTCAATTTAAACAATAAGCCGCTGCGCTTGCAACGTGAGAAATGATAATAATGTGAAGTTGTGCGAGCGCGTTCGCGGGGCCCGCAACCTATCGTTTTGCGGGACGTAAAGCGGGCCCGCAGCCTATCGTATAATGTTTCGTGTGTCGTTGGGAGCTGGCAGGCAGCACGAATGGGCAGTCAGCTGGGGGGGCGGCAAGAAGCAAGGCGGCTCGGCAGAACAACGGACGAACCGCTGTGGCGTTGGTCCGGCGTCGGCACCGACTGGCATCTAGATCAAGCGCCGGAGATAATAAAGGGTTCCCAATTGTGCGAAACATGGAAACCCATGCGGTCTGGTGCAATGCCGTCGGCGACCATATCCAAAACAATGTTGCACACGGCGTCGGCATCAACGTTAAATTCTCGGTAAACGTGAATGACCTCACACGCGCGCACAGCAGGCAAGCGGCGTAGGTCTCTCAGCCTCCGAAGGGCTGTCTCAAGGAGCGGCCGCAACGAGGGCGCTCGACACCGCCACTGGCAGTTGAGCTGACGAGCAAGCAACAAATAATCGACATGAAACCGCATTTGCTCGGCAGGGTACAGAAACGCATGGCGAAGATTTTCCAACAAACCCGCGTATTCCGCAACATTGTTTGTGACGTGGCCAAGTTGCGCTCCGCGGGAAGCCACGACCCGCCGGCAGCCTTCGGCGTAACGAACACAACCAAATGAAGATGAACTCGCCTCTGCCGCGCCCTGGCGCCGGCTCGCTCCGTCCGACGCGTAGACGACCCACCCCTCTGCGTAAGTGGGAGGTCTCGCGCGCAGGGCACGCCGCTCGGCACGCAAGCTCTCCACCGGGGATCCAGTAATCCACGGGTCCTCGCTCAGGCGCAGGGCGTGGCGTATCATATCTTCGAGGTTGTATAAAGCAACGCCGGATTGGAGCAGGAGCCTGCGAAGTCTCACCACCGCGCTCGTGTACGCAAGGACGCCTTGCAGCACCCCTCCGCTGGCAACATCCTCCTGCAGCCAGAGCTGGCCAACAGTCAGTTGCGCGTACTCTGGGGAAAAGCCCCTGCGAACGGAAAGCAAAACATCGCACTCATCCCCAGTGTCTTGCGCAATCGCCGTGCGCAACTCCACAAAAAAGGCACGGTTGAGCCGGCAGCCCGAACACCGGCGCGAGCCGGTGGGAGGTCAGTTCGCCGTTCAACAGCCGCCGCATGAACGAGACGCGATGTTCCCCAGGCACGGAGGACGGCATGCGTCGCAAATTCCGCTCAACCGGCGCCCAAGAAGAGCCCCCGACCTCGAAGCCTCGCGGAGACGATGCTCTTGGCACACCAAAGCTCGGAAGAATGAAGCGCCCGATACACCAGGGATGTAGGATAGGAGTGAAAGACCTCCGCTGAAGCAGAGGTGTCGCTGCAAGTTTCCTTGCGGTACTGCGTATCTATGTGCACTCCTCCGCGCAATGCCACTGCACCCTGATGTTCCACCGTAACCGTAGTCCACCAGATAGTGCCGTGGATGGTGAAGAATAGAGCTAGAGCTGACCACCATAGGCCTGCCAGCTCCGCTACCAAGGTTGAAGGGGGCTGGGAGGCCCCGCCAACAGCTTCGCCTCAGGCGAAGCCAAGCTCCAGCTCGGCTGTATCGTAGTAGCGATAATCCCAATGCAAGAGGGGATGCCATATGAGTAAAAGGGGATGCCTTTTAGTATCGATAGCGATAGTGTGCCTCGCGGTGAGGCACAGTCAAGTCTAGGCGGCCGGCCGCTTGAACCAAGACGGCCGCGGGCGCACGCTCGCTTCCGCTCCTTACGTCCCCCAGCTCGCTTTAGAGTCAAAGACGGGCCCAAGAGGGCCCCAAGACGTGCCCCAAAGGGCCCCCAGGTCGGCCCAAGGGACCTCCAAGACTGTTCTAAAGCGCTCCGATCGTGTTCACGGAGGCTCCCCAAGGCGGCCACCGAAGGCGTTAGACGGACCAAGAGGCCCCCAATATGCCCATATATGCCCCTAAGAGGCCCCCACGATGCTCCAAAGAGGCCCGCCCCCAAGAGACTCCCAATGAGGCCCCCAGGCGACCTCCTCCTCCCCCTCCACCTCCTTATCCTCCCTCTACTCCCCCCCATGCGTTCCCCCAAGGGTTTTCAAAACGGCAAAAGAAGCACATTGTCCAATAGCTTGGCCAGACTGCGGCCCCACTTTTGGCGAGGTAATTAGGCGCTTCCAAAAGGCAGGGTGCGGCGGTGACTCGCCGTAGGCGTCTTCGATCCTGGCGACGCAACGCGAGTAGTCGTTGGGTGTGGCGGCGCTCTGTCCTTTTGCGACGCGAACCTGCTGCGGCTAATCACTGAGCAAATGTCAGTGCTGCGGGCCTAAGTGCAGTAGCTGATCCTGCTCGGGCCTTCGTTGGTCCGATGTACGCGCGTGGCAGAGGAAGAGTTGCCGCATGGCATACTGGGCCTGGGCAGTGCAGCCAGTGTGAGGTAGCATTGGGCAGGGTGCACCAGTTGGCCAGACGGCCGGTGAGGACTAACGCTGAAATCAACTCACATCCTCCCCTTCCCCGGCCACCCATCCTCTCGCATCCCCCCTCCCCGTCACCACATGTTCGTTGTTTTTCATTCGTTTCGGGAGTAAGCCGAATCGGATTCCCGAGGTTTTCGCGGCACTGACTGGACTGGACAGGTCGCACAAATCAGGCGGCCGTTTGATTATGAGCCGCCGACCGCGCAACGTATGGCGCAACCGATCGCATGCAGTTTCTTATCGGCGGCCGAACGCGCAACCTATGACGCAACCAGTAGCAGATAGTTCCATGTTTGGCGGCCGAGCGCGCAACCTATGGCGCAACCAACAGCAGCCAAGTTTAGTATCGGCGGCCGAGCGCGCCACCTGTGGCGCGAACAAAAGCAAGACCGCCTTACTCTCGGTGGGCGAACGCGCAACCTATGGCCCAACGACTAGCAAACCTTTTCTCATCCCTGGCCGGGGAAAAAATAAAAAAGCAGTGCCAAGAAGGACAGAGGCACGGAGAGCGGGGAGGACGAAGACGACGACGATTACAACGACCACGACGAGACCGAAGCCAACGACGACCAGACCGGCGGGGCCCAGAAATTTGGTGGACCTGGCACTGTATACAGGGCTTCGACCGATATATGCTCGCCGTTTGGGCGAGCGGTGGGTCCCACGTGGCGAACTGTTTTGTGATTCATTTACCGTTTCCCTCCCCGTCCTCGTCCGCCTTCCCGTCCTTTTTCCTCCTCCTGCTCCTTCTCCTCCTCCTTCTCCTCCTCCTGCTCCTCCTCCTTCTCCTCATCTTCCTCCTCCTCCTCCTCCCCCTCCGTTCTCCCCAAGAACGCCCCGCGTCCTGTTTTTCCACTGCCTTCATGAAGTCGGCGTCCTTCAGCTTCCGCATGTACTCTCCTTCGTGCTCCCTCCCAAGCGTCCAGCGTCCGGGAGGAAGATGGGAGATGAGAGGGGTGGTGGTGGGAAGGGGAGGGGCGGCTGGAGAGAGACGGGAGGGAAAGAAGGGAAGGGAGGGAGCTGGAGGGAGTGAGCGAGCTAATGGGGGGGGGAGGGGACATGGACGGGATGGACCTCCTCCTCCGTCCCTCCCTCCCTCCCTGCCTCCCTCCCTCCGCTGATCGCTGGCCTTCTCCCGCGAGGGGGGCGACGCTCGAACAGAGTTCCCCTCCCCTAAGACGCACGGCTGACATGGGGCACTCGCAAAGGCCCCTCCGACCGGCAACCCCTGCACGGCGGCTCCCGCTGCCGCGCTGCCCCCCCCCCGCGGAGGAGTGGCTTAGAACGGCCCCAGGCCTCCGACGTCGACTCGGTTCATACATTCTTCTTCCCCTCCCACTCCTCGACCTTGCCCTCCTGGTCTTCGTTCTCCTACTTGTCCTCATCGTCGTCCTCCTTCTCTGTGTCCTCGTTGTCCTCGTCGTCATCCTCGTCGTCGTCCTCCACGTGGCGAATAGGCCTTTGCACCCCCTCCTCAGTAGTTCTCCTCGCTAGAGGCTCTAGAACGTCGGGGCCCGCGATGCTCGTTCGTATCAGTCCACGGAACTGTGAACCATGGGGAGAAAGGACCTCCTGCTCCTCCTCCTCCTCCTCCTCCTCCTCCTCCTCCTCCCACTCCTCCTCCTCCTCCTCCTCCTCCTCCTCCCCCCCCTCCTCTTCCTCGTGCTCCTCCTCATCGTCCTCATTACTCCTCCGAGGAGGGAAAGCGATGATGCGGTTGACGCGGGGGATGCGAATACCTCTCTCTCTCTCTCGAAGAGTTCGGTTGCATTGCACAGCCCTCGCCGAGATCCGCGCAAGGCCCCCTCCGCTCGGGCTCCGCGCATAGTTTACATTGCGTGTGTACAAATAAACTGCTGACCGATCCGAGCCGGTGGATCGAGGCTTGGCAGCCACAGGCACGACGACGGCGCCCCGATTAATTCTGGTAGCCTCGCGCGGATGGCCTCCCATTGTAGGGAAACCTGGACGCTCCCCCGTTTGTGGAGACCTGCCCTGACCACTGACCACAGATGTGATCGAATCGAGATCCTCTCGAGGCTCCCGAGCGGAGCAAGCGCACTGCCGAGCTCTCCGACGTGGCCAGGCTCGGCGCGGGCTGCTGGGGAGAGCCAGACAGACCAGAGCCTCTGCAAGTAAGGTCGGTCTCGAAAGTCCCTCTTTCCTGATCCTCCTCTTGCTCGTTCTCGTCCCTTACGACGTCGTCGTCCCTCTTCCAAAGTTTGGGTCCTCCTCCTATTGCTCGTCCCCCCTCTTGCCAAGGTCGTCGCCGTCCTCCTTCATCATTCCTCTTTTAAAACATCGCGCCGCCCTGTCGTAACCCGAGGCGGTCGGAAGGGCGGGCTGGGCGTTTCGAAGGAGACTTCCTCACCACTTATGATCCTGAAACTTCAGGATTAACCACTGGTTCCCAGATGGAAGCGCTCCGTTTCGCAAATGTGGCTCTCGCCTTAGTACCACGCGCGCTCTTTTCAAACAGCTGCAAGAGCTTCGCATATTGAGGGCGACCCGTTTTGAATATGTGGCTTCCGCCTTAGCGCCGCGCACATTCGTTTTACAAATTTGCAGGAACTTCACGGATGGAGGGCGGCCCGTTTTCATAATGTGGCTCTCGCAGTAGCGCCGCGCACACTCGTCTAGAACATTGCAAGAGCTTCACGGATGGAGGGCGGCCCGCTTTCATAATGTGGCTCTCGCCCTGGCAACCAAGAGCGTCACGGATGGAGGGCGGCCCGTTTTCATAAGCTGGTTCCCGCCTTAGCGCCGCGCATATTCGAGCTTCAAGAATGGAGGCCGGCTCTTTTTCAAGATGTGGTTCTCGCATTCGTGCCGCGCGCTTTCTTTCTCATACTTTGCAAAAGTTTCGAAGAGTCGATTGGCTAACGTCCCAGAAACAATGTTTTGGAGACGTGTGCGACCGTTCGGAGGCGTCAGTTGCGTTGATTCGTGGTGGTGAAGTTCCAGGATTGGTGTTCTGGCACGATTCAGGATCGCCAATGCGCAATAGTAAGGTTGATTCGTGGCATTGAAGTCTTAACAATGGTGCCTTTGTTGGCACGGTTCAAGATTTCCACACGGTTGCCTTACAACGGGGCACATCCCTGTGAAATGAATCCTGGTAGATGCCTTTGAAGAGGGAGCTTGGAGGGAGGGTTCATTGCAACATCTTTGATGAGGCTTGGGTTTGCACTGGTCCTTCTCCTCCTTCTTGTCCTCCTCTCTTCCTACTGGAAAATGGCAGTGGAGAGCAGGAGGAACATGTGCGAATCAACTGCAAGTGGTCTATGAGAAACTGGTGGTACCTACGGACCTCTGAATACCAGAGGCCAGCGGATCTAGATACATCCACATCCCAGGGTGGGGACAACTCGTCAGCGTGGGCTGTAACGATGCACAGAGTTCAAAGGAGGGAGGAAGGGTGAACGGGGGATAAGTGGAGAGGGTGGCGGCAGGAAGGTGGACGGGGAGAGCTGCTCACATGCGCCAGGGAAAGGCAGAAAGAGAGAGAGAGAGAGAGAGAGACAACGAGCGAGAACGCATAAAAATACAACGCCATCGCAATAATCAACACTTGCACTTGGGCTGGGGGCGTCAAACGGGCCAAAGGGAGGCGCTCGCCATCGAGTGGTTCGTTCGTCTTGGGGTCGAGCTCGAATGTTTGCAGGAAGCGGAACACATCTTGCTGCCACTGCTTATAGCCACTCGACACGAAAATGACAGCACCATTGGGCTTCTGTGGATCTGCTGCAGCAGAGCCCTTCTTCTTCTTCCCAGGAGAACAAAACTGGATGCCACATTTTTTTGCACACGCACACGACTGGAAAGTACAAGCATGACGAAATATACTGCTCGCGCGCACGCGCACGCACCTTCTGAGGCCGAGTCGCCTCCCCCCAGACGACGCCCTAAAGACGAGCGTGATGTATTGTTGGTAATGCACCGCAGAACTTACGATTCACGAACAAGCCTGCGAGAACAACGGTCAATGCCTGCTGGGCGACGTGCAACGCCGGCAATTGCGTCGACGCGCGCACACAACATGGACACACACACAAACCCAATACACATATAAGCACGAACGCCCACGCATACGTTCTAACAAAGAAATGCGCGGATAACCACCAACATGCGCGCACACGCTTGCATACACGCGCATGCGAAAAAAAAACACAAGCACGCACACACTAGCACGCGCACACAGACACACAGACCAACAGACACACAGACACATAGACACACCGACACACAGACACACAGACACACAGACACACAGACACACAGACACACAGATACACAGGCACACGGACACATCGACACATAGACACACAGACACACAGACACCACACACCGACACACCGACACACCGACACAGACACACAGACACACAGACACGCAGACACACAGACCCACAGACATACAGACACCGAGACACACAGAAAAACAGACACACAGACGCACAGACACGCAGACACACAGACACACAGACACACAGACACACAGATACACAGACACACAGGCACACATGCACACAGACACACAAACACACAGACACACAGACACACACACACAGACACACACACACACAACACACACACACACACACACACACGCACACGCACACGCACACGCACACGCACGCGCACGCACGCACATGCACTCACGCACGATATACCAAACCGACCATTCCCCGGCTGGTGCGTCGCGTCGATGCCTTGGTCCCTTACTCCGTAACTGCACCATGCTGTGCGCATTTCGCTCCTTCTTCTTCGAAATTGCTACATGTCCCGACGTAAGGTTCTTCCTTGCACTGGGGACTCGTAAGGTCCATTCATACTCTCTGCCGGGGAGAGCGCTCTCTCACCAATGGGCCTGATGACCGATTGCTCCTGATTTTCGTGGCCCGGAGGAAGGCCCTAGTCGAAAGAGGGGAAACAACAATTTTGAACCACTTACAGGAAACGATGCCAACATGATGGGAACGGCGGGGGAACACTCTGGAAGCTCCCGTCTTGCCTCCGATCGTAATGAGGGTTAGCCACCAATTTTGAGCAACTAGAGGCACAAAGGAAGGCAAAAGGGGCGACACATCATATTGTATGAAACAGAAAGATAAACGGAACGATGTAACGCAATGGTGACCTTGTCTAGCTCCAAGCGGAAGCCCCGCAAAATACCCTGAATCAAATCGTACTGCTGCAGGAGGACGCTGTCGATGTCCGAACGAGGCCACCTCTCCTGCACCACCAGCGTCGTCTTGCCAAGGATCTTCTGCCATGCGTGTTCGCAAAAGTGTGGTGCTATTGGCGACAATGCAATCATTTGAGCTTCCAAGAACTCTCGGATGACTTCTGCGTGAACATCGTCGTTCGTCAGAATACTGTACTGGGAACGAAGGTTGTCGATGTCGTAGAAGATTGCGCGCAATGCGTCACTGTACACCATCCCCTCGTACGCAGTGTAAGCCTCCTCGACCATGCTCTTGATTTTGTTGGACACAATATTATCAATAAAATTCTTATCACCCGATCTTAAACTTGGAAGCCGGCTCACCATCTCTGTCGCCCATCCTTGTAAAGCGTTGAGCCGCAATATTGTCTTGCCGCAGTTGTCCCGGGAGAAGTTGGCATCTGGAGGCATGTTTTGGCGCTCCCTGTCGCACCAAGTGGGCAATATAAGAGGGGAACGACCCGAAACAAAAACATAGCCTGACGAAGGACCCAACCATATTCTGCTGCGAGTACCGCGAGGGAGAGGAGACGAAGGAGGGGGGGCAGCAGAAAGGACTGCGGCGTGCAGGAGGGGGAGAAAAGCTGACGCGGGCGAGCGGGGGGTCTTCTTGGTTTCGCCCGAGCCCCGTGCGCGGCCGGTGCCACGCGGACGCTACCGCTGGGGCCTTTGGTGGAGCTCCCTATGGGGCCACGAACCGTGTGAGAGGTGCGCCAAAATCGGGCAACGATGCCATGCGGACGACCCCGATGGAACTCCCTATGGGGGCCACGAACCGTGCGAGGGGTGTGCCGAAATGGGGCGGTGCCGCCATGTGGACCCTGACACTAGGGCCTTCGGTGGAACACTCTATGGGACCGCGAAACGTGTGAGGGGTGCGCCACAATGGGGCAGCGGTGCCATGCGGAATCTGCCACTGGGGCCTTCGGTGGAACTCCTTATGGGGCCACGAACTGTGTGAGGGTGTGCCAAAATGGGGCGGCGGGGCCATGCGGACGCTCCCGCTGGGGCCTTCGGTGGAGCTCCCTATGGGGCCACGAACCGTGTGAGGGGTGTGCCGACATGGGGCAACGCTCCTGCAGGGGCCTTCGGTGGAACTCCCTATGGGGCCGCGAACCGTGTGAGGGGTGTGCCAAAATGGGGCGGCGGTGCCATGCGGACGCTCCCGCTGGGGCCTTTGGTGAAACTCTCTATGGGGCCACGAGCCGAGTGAGGGGTGCGCCAAAATGGGGCGGCGCCGCAATGTGGACCCTGCCACTAGGGCCTTCGGTGGAACACCCTATGGGGCCGCGGACCGTGTGAGGGGTGCGCCACAATGGGGCAGCGGTGCCATGCGGAATCTGCCACTGGGGCCTTCGGTGGAACTCCCTATGGGGCAACGAACTGTGTGAAGGTGTGCCGAAATGGGGCGGCGGGGCCATGCGGACGCTCCCGCTGAGGCCTTTGGTGGAGCTCCCTATGGGGCCACGAACCGTGTGAAAAGTGTGCCAAATGGGGCGGCGGTGCCATTCGGACGCTCCCGCTGGGGCCTTCGGGGGAGCTCCCTATGGGGCCACGAACTGTGTGATAGGCGTGCCAAACTGAGGCGGCGGGACCATCCGGACGCTCCCGCTGGGGCCTTTGGTGGAGCTCCCTATGGGGCCACGAACCGTGTGAGGGGTGTCCCGAAATGGGGCGGCGGTGCCATGCGGACGCTTCCGCTGAAGCCTTCGGTGGAGCTCCCTATGGGGCCACGAACCGTGTGAAGGATGTGCCGAAATGGGGCGGCGGTGACGCATGCAACCGCTGCCACTTTGGCCTTCGGTGGAGCTCCCTATGGGGCCACGAACTGTGTGAGGGTGTGCCGAAATGGGGCGGCGGGGCCATGCGGACGCTCCCGCTGAGGCATTCGGTGGAGCTCCTTATGGGGCCACGAACCGTGTGAGGGGTGTGCTGAAATGGGGCGACGCTCATGCTGGGGCCTTCGGTGGAACACCCTATGGGGCCGCGAACCGTGTGAGGGGTGTGCCAAAATGGGGCGGAGGTGCCATGTGGACGCTCCCGCTGGGGCCTTCGGTGAAACTCTCTATGGGGTCACGAGCCGTGTGAGGGTTGTGCCGAAATGGGGCGGCAAAGCCATGCGGACGCTCCCGCTGGGGCCTTCGGTGGAACTCCCTATGGGGCCACGAACCGTGTGAGGAGTGTGCCGAAATGGGCGGCGGTGCCATGCGGACGCTTCCGCTGAGGCCTTCGGTGGAACTCCCTATGGGCCGCGAACCGTGTGAAGGATGTGCCGAGATGGGGCGGCAGTGCCATGCGGACGCTCCCGCTGAGGCCTTCGGTGAAGCTCTCTATGGGGCCACGAACCGTGTGAGGGGTGTGCCGACATGGGGCCACCAAGCCTACACCCTCCTGCAGCTGTCCCTGGACACGCTGCTCGGGGTCACCGGGTCGGCCGTTCCCGCGGCCGAGGCAAACCTAGTAGGCACTACGCGGCACCATGCGTCGTCTTCTGATGACCTGTAAGAGTGACCTGTCGCCAATGAGCGGCTTTACAAAGCGGCATCATAAGAGTGCCAATCGACGCGACGGTAGAGGCATGACTTCGCACCGCCACCCGCTGCCGCTGCCAGGCTCTTTGGAGTGGCCATCGGCAAGGACAGCAAAGGTCGACGGGTCGCGGCGGTCGCCCCTAGGATCACCCCTACGGCACCACTGCGGATTGAGGCAACGACTCGGTGACGAGTGGAAACATGTAAAAGCCCTCTCTCTGCGTGGTTGTTGGACGGGCTCCGTGGGTGCCGGCCACTGCGGCGCTTAGGCCGTTGCGGGTTTCTGTTGATTGTCGTTCTGGGGAGTTTTCCCAGCGGGGGCGAGGGGGCACCGCGTTTTCCACCCAGCGCCCTTCACGGGTGTGCCGCTGGGGCTGCTACTGATCATTTTTCAACGCTGCCGCTTGATGCGGTAAACTAACACGTGGCACCGCATATGTTTCCATATGTTGAGTAGCCATTTCTTTTAGTGGGTCTACTCCAGAGCTAGGGTGTCCCACCAACCAATGTGGGGGGGGGGCGGCGGTGACGCATGCAACCGCTGCCACTTTGGCCTTCGGTGAAGCTCCCTGTGGTGCCAGGAACCGTGAGGGGCGCGGCGCTGACGATGGCGATGGTGATGATCATGATGATGTGCATCATGACGATGGCGATGATGATGACGATGATGATGATGAGGCGGATGGGAGGAGGAAGGAGGGGGGAGGAGGGAGGGGGCAGCGGGAGGAGGTGAGACGCGGGGCGCTGTCTCTTCAAAACGAGGACCCAACACCACAGGATGATTGGGAACAATCACACATTGCGCGTTGCGGAACATCTGTTCTTACAATGCCAGTCAATGCACGAAACACAAGCTCTTTCGTCACACGCGTCGATCGAATGATCACCCACAAAGCCTGTCCCGATATCCCGATCGCTATAGTCAAACCGTAGCATAAGGATGCGCGGTGAAGGTGCAAGGGCCTCGGAGGGCCAAGTTGACGTTTTTCGGCCAGTGAAAGTCACGAAGGATGGCCCGAAGTGGCAAGGATGCAAGGGTACCCTTGGGACGGTTGCCCATCCTTACTAAGCGGGTTGACTATACCGCCTCTCAACAGCTGACGACACATAGACGGCGTAAAGGGACAGTGCGAAAGGTTTGGGGGGATAGGGCGAAGGATGGGGACGGGGAGGGCGAGGGAGAAAGTCCAGGGGAGGGGGAAGATTGGTAGACGGCAAATGAAAATCATATTCTTTCGAGGCGCATCCAATGAGCGCTGTTCCAGGCATCCCAGCCTGGGGGCTCTCTGGCTAGCGGCCAGGATTAGGCACAGCACCATAAAATACAACTGGCGTGGGCGGCATGGCTTGCGGCAGGGGAACAGACTGGACGGAGGGGATGGGATATAAGTGATGGCAGGGAAGCAAGGGGAGTGAGGGATAGGGGCGGGGAGGAGGCGGCGTGCCCAAAATCCCATGCCTCGCCCCGGCGCAGCTGACAGTTCCACACGCAGCCAAAAACTCCAGACACAGCGCGGCTGGTCTTCAGAGGTGGAGTGTACGCGCTTGGCGCTTGCCCGTCGAATAAGCTCGGGTGCTAATGAACTGGGTTTGATATTCACTCGCCAAGTCGGGTGCGCATATATGAATATTGCCGCACCCTGGTCAAAACATGTACGATCTGCGATTTGATGGCAAAACATAGCGATATTTCTGTGCTAATGTCAATCGGTGTGCGGAAGATTTGCCAACGTCTCCAGGTGAGTGCATAGCCAACTGGACTCAAGGACTTCGTGATCGACCATGGCGTTTACATGGAGTCCACGTTCCCTGGCTCGCCACCACTCCTGCAAGTTCACGGAGTTCGAATGTAGACAGGGCGCCTTCAAGGAGTTACCGCTCCATGATAATGATGCGCCACCCCTTTGCTGGCTACCTAGCGGCCCCATCTTGCTGGCTGCCCAGAGGCGCTTAGCCTCGGGAACGGTGTCGGTGCAACGCCCCTGGAAGACATGGCATCACACGGCAAATCCAACTTCTAATGTGACTTGCGCCTCTGCGAAACACTCGGGGGCTGAACTGGCATTGCGGCCGATACCCAGCTGATCACCCGCCCTGAGTGGCCAGCGCGTTACCTACCTTTTGCCTCCGCGCGGTCCTCCTTTCCTTCCCCCTTCGCTCCTACGTGCGGGCTAACTTGCACTTGCTGCGTCCAAGGTTGTGCACACCAGGTGGCGAAACCGAAACACTCTGCGGATTCAAACTCGTAGAGCCGTTGTTCTGTTCAACAAATGTGCCAGCGATTACGGTGGCTGGTATGGCCACATGCTTACCTGATGGTAATATGTGTTCACCCACCTCCCTATCCATGCAGACCGCTGAATGAGACAAGAGAACAATTATCCCAAAACGATTCTTCGGGCTGGTGGTCCGGCATCATATCCCACAAACATCACCCTCATTGTTCAGGGCTGCTCCGACTCCCCTATTCCTTCTTGCGCAATATCCCCAAACACGCCGGTGGGTGGATATCCGCCACTGTGCCGCAAGGCGATGAGTGGAGTGCTCTCGGGTCCCTTAGAATCTTCTGTGCATCATAATAGATACTCTTTCAGGAGCCCGCAACCCTGACTACCAGGCGCTCCTGGGCGCGCGTGTTGTCGCATGACTAGGGCCCCGAAACAAGCCAAGAGGGCCTGAAGAGGCCCCAAGGCTGCCCAGGAGTGCCCTGAGTTGCCCGAAGATCGCTCTCCAGACAGTCCCTGAAGCCTCCCATGCGCCACAAGAGAGCTTCAAGAGACTCCCAAGGGGGTATCGAGATGCCCAAATCATGAATTGTTTGACCTACGCTCCAAACGGTCGAAGAGGCCGCCAAGATCGCCCGAAGACGG